CCTGGACTTGCATGTCTATTTCATTATTTTTTCCAAATAGATTTCTAATTTCTTACCTTTTCTCCTCACCTTCTGGCACTCCTGTGATATGACTGTTGGAATGTTTGAAGTTATCCCAGAGCCTGCTTACATTATCCTTACTTTTTTGGGTTCTTTTTTTCTTGTTGTTGTGCTGATTGGCTGTTTTTTGCTTCCTTATGTTCCAAATCATCGATTTGATTCTCAGCTTCATCCACTCTGCTGTTGTTTCCCTGTAAATTGTTCTTTATTTCACTTAGTGTATCCTTAATTTCTGAATGGATCTTTTTTATGCTGTTGAGGCCCTCACTAAGTTCCCTGAGTATCCTTAAAAACACTGTTTTGAATTCTGCATCCGATAGACTGCTTAGCTCCAATTTGTTTAGTTCTTTTTTTGAGTTTTGATTTGTTCTTTCATTTGGGCCATGTCCTTTTGTTTTCTCATTTCGGCAGCCTCCCTGTGTTTGTTTCTATGTAAAAGGTAGAGCTGTTATGACTCCCTGTCTTGGTAGCATGGCCTAATGTAATAGGTATCCTGTAGGGTCCAGTGGCACAGCCTCCCCTATCACCTAACCTGGGAACTTGAGGTGTGCTCTCCATGTGGACTGAGTACACCCTCCTCTTGTAGTTGAGACTTGATAGCTGTTGGCAGGTCAATGAAAGGAATTTACCCAAGCCAGTCAGCTGCAAAGACTGGCTCTGACCACTGACCACCAATTTCTACCTTCCATGGAGGATCAGCAGTGCGGGAGCAGGGTGGTGATGTTCCAACATGGTCTGTAGCTGTCCACTGGGTGCACAGGTTCTGGGGCTTCCTGGGTGGTACAGGCCAAGGTTAACCCCCATCTGTGGTTTGTCTGGAGCCACCCTGCCCAAGCTACAAAGCAATCTGAGATGGTTGCTAGTTGTGGCCCACAATCCAGGCATGTTCCCTGACTGGGAATTGAGCTGTCAAACTTTTGGTTCACAGGCCTGCACTCAATCCACTGAGTCATACCAGTTAGAGCAGGACTTAATTCTTAACCTAATGAGGTATAAGACATTGGGGTGGAAGTAATAATGTTCTCCAAGAATGGTAAATGTGCTAGTGCTGGTTTATGAGGTACATACATGGTCAAATATTTTTTATTTCCAATAGTTTAATGAACATACAATTATGTTCATTTTAACATGTATTGTATCATTATATTATGATTTGTGTACATTGTTTAACCACATAATTATGTACCTTATTTAACCATACAAACCATGATATCATGTATATTGCTTAGGGTAGTAGTGATAATAAGCCCCCTTAAAATTATTCAAGTAAAGGAGGTCAGATGTATGGAAAAATACTCATTAAAAATGTATGGGTGGCACACACAAATATGGCAAAGTTGTGAAAGAGGTTTATGAATGACTAAGGTTTGAGGAATACTAGGTTGAAGACCTGGGTATATTCTTTTAAACTAAGCACTTGCTATCTGTTATAGTCTTATGGATGAAAGAGCCAAGGAATTGGAGTTGCACACGTGGAGTTGTATGTTTTTAAAGTGCATGAGACAAATCTATCCTGAGCATCATCCTGTTCCTCTGAGAAATCAGCCATTCTGTTCTGGGCTGTGGGGAGAAGCTGTTTGTTCATGGCACCATGTCTGCAGTGCACAGTCATTCACAGCAGCACTGTGCAAAGGAGAATGTGAAGCAGTCAACAGTTCTGTACAACTGAACCAGGTCTCGTGGCAGGGATAGCTTCACTGCCTGCAATAAGCTAGTTCCCCATTCTTTGTGTTGTCACCAAGCAATCTAATGGCTGTTCTTTTTGCTGAGCTAAATGCAACATCTCATACCAGATTACTGGCTTGGCAAAGTTGCAAATTTTATTACGCAAAAGTTGAGAAAGAGCAAAGCTTATGAGTGCTAAAAACAGCACACTTTGCTACTGTGTAATATCTGTATTTGGGGCTCACGGTGTTTTATTTATAGATAGCTATTAATACATAGCAAGGGATACAGAAAGAAACATAAAAATACCTTTATCAAATAGTTTCTAGTATTCAAGTGTAACAACAAAAGAAAAGCAGTAACAGCAAACTGTTTGGTTAGGGGGGGAGCCATCTTCTTTTCCTTTTCTGTCCCTTCCCTTCTGTCTCTGAGGTGGACTATGGCCACAAAGAGCCTTTCTGTTCCTAGATCTTGGAGGAGTCCCGGGGCGGGGGGCGGGGGATGGAAGTGGGATCTCCACGTTTATTCCTTTGTCCAGCTCTTTTAACCTCCTCCTCTTCTACCTCCCTCAGCAGCAATGCTTCAAGAGGAGAGGTGGGAATATCCAGCTTGTAAAACTGGTTGGTTGGGCTTCTTTCTCCCTTCCTCTCTTGCTTCTTGGGAAAACTTACTTGCTGGGCAGCTGCCTGGCAGTGCCATAGCTGCCTTCTCTGGGCTTAAAAGGGGCTTCCCCTTTCTTCTACAGTAGGAAGAAGAGGATGCCACAGGAACTGGAGATGGGAGATAGACAGAGAAGGCAGATACCATCACTCTACCATAATACACAAAGAAATAGAAATGGATATACTCATACACATTTATACATGCCTGTACGCATGTTGGAAACTCAGGGTTCAAAGAGATGGGCCAAAATTGTACTTGGAACAAACGGACACTTCCAGGTCTGAAACCCTGTACATTTTAGCAGAAGACCCAGGGTAAGGGGTTTAAGGACAGATCACTGCCACCCACTTTCTGTTTTTATAATTAAAATACTTACACAGGGTTTCACAGGATGACACGAATGGGAGACGAGTACAGGGACGGCTGTGGGAAGGTGTGTGGGTAGTTTCATTTTGTTTCACTTCTTCACCTGACTGTTGGGTGCTGCTGGAACCTGCAAGGGCAGCCTTATCAAGGTGGGGGTGGCTGTGGAGACACAGGCTTCTTGGCTAGAAGGTAGATCAGGTTGGACCCAGGGAGACTGGGAAGGGTGAAGATGGTCATTTCTGGTGAAGGGCTTAGGACAAGTTGGTCCTGACTGGGACCAGTGTTTTGTCAAAGTTGCCAGGAGGTTAAGGAAAGTGTGTAGGGGAATCCCTGCCAAGACACATTTCCCTTCTCGGGAAAAGCTTAGATTCTGTGAATGTGACGTCAGCTCTCCTCTGCTGTCCTTGTGGTCTGCCGGGGAGAGGAGGTTGGGACACACTGGTCAGAGATGAGGGGCACAGAACTGGCTTCCTACTTGATGGCACCCATTTCCTAGGAGCAGCTGAGCCCTCCCCCACCCCCCGGGGTTGGGCTGGGCTGAAGTAAGCACTGGGAGGAAGCAGAGGGCCCAGGCATAGGTCCCTGGGGATTGGGTGGAGGCCTTTCTGGGTGTGGGTGTGGGAGGGAGGGTTCCTGCCTCTCCCCCATCTTCAGCTCTTGCTGCGGTGGCTCTTTAGGGGGCAGATTTTATTATAGAACTGATACTGCTGCTGTTACTGTCTCCCCAACTGTGGTAACTTCCAGGGACACTCAGGGGACCCAAGTATGCTTGGGTCCACAAATTTGGTGTTAGGATCAAATCTATCATTTTGATTTTAGAGGTCAAGGGCAAGCAAGGAGAAGGCAGAAGAAATGGTTTATGGGTTCCCTTCAGTATTGGAAATAGGTCTACATTTGAATCCTCTCCTCTCCCCTCCCGGCATAAGTGCAAAAACTAGAGTAAAACAAGGTGAGGAAATGGAGAAAACATCTATTTGATGGCATCCCTAAGTACTAAATGTAGTAGACTCATCCTTTTCCTGTGCAGAGAAGATGCTCTGAATTTACCCCGTTGGCCCTAGGTAGCACACTGAGAGACATCTGGGGGAGGACGGAAATACTGGATGCCTCAGTTTTGTCACTTGAAAAATGAGACTAATTGAAAATACCCATGGTTCACACTTATGTTTTGATGTATACACTACAGCATGTTGTCACCTCTTGGGTAACTGCCCTGTGGGTACCTCAGGGGGCTATTTCAAGGTTAAATAAGATATTGTTTTAAGAATGTAAGCACATTATTAAATGGGAGGCATTATCCGATCCCCTTATTCGGCAAGGTGTTTCCTTCTTCCCAATGCCGCCCTCACTGCGTAGTCACCGAACCCTGGACAAGTATACCCTTTTGTCCTGAATGAAGAAGGCAAAGGAAAAGAAACCCCAGAAAAGATACCCCTATGTGGGGAGTAAATGGCATGTTCTGAGGGGCAGCCCCCTTTCTTACATGAGGCGCCATGCCTTGCCTTTCCTCAACTCCCCACTCAGGTACCCTTTTCTTATGTGATTTAGAAGCCCAGGCTTTTATTTTTTGTCCTCATAAAACATCAGCCCCTGTAGCTCTTCGTCTCCCCCTGGTGTTACTCTCCCGCTATTTCTTCAGATTGGTGCTATAGAAAGTGGGGCGTTCTGGGTAGGGGAAAAAGGGTGGGCACAGAAAAAACCTTGGGGGGGGGTGCTTCAAATCAGTTATACTGAAAGTATTGGGTATATGTCTGAAAGGGCTCTAACTTAAAAAAAAATGAAAGCTTGTTTCTTTGCCATGATCTTTTTCACCATGGACTCAAAGAACTTCAGCATAAAAGACTTAGAGGAGGGGGCTTGAAGTAAGAGAAAAAATTACACTGATCTCTAAAATAATCTGACCCCCGGGGGGGGGAGTGATGAAGGAGAGCGTTCCCTTGTTTGATCAACACTAAGAGATCGGAGAGACATAAAAGGAAAATGAAGTGAACAACAATTAAAAAAATTCCCTGCACACAATACAATCTATTTAAACTGCAGCTCATACTTTTCATACCAATGGTATGACTTTTCTGGAGTCCGTCTTCTGATTCTTGAACTCTGGGGCTGGCAGCTTGCAAAGGGGAAGCAGACTCCAGAGCTGCACGGGCAGGTTTACCAAAGGTCTCCAATGGGTATTTTCTTTTCCTTAGCCCTGCCCCTGAATTGTCAGACGGCGGGCGTCTGCCTCTGAAGTCAGCAGTGATTTCCTTTAGAGCCTGGCCTTATCTCCAGCTGCACGTTGCCTGTTGGTGACTAATAACACAATAACATTGTCTGGGGCTGGAATAAAGTTGGAGCTGTTTACCCCCACTCTATAGGGGTTCAATATAAAAAGCCAGCGGAGAGCTGTACAGGTCAGACGCGCTTCTGCAACTGCGCTGGGCGAGCGCTGCGAGGGTTCTTGATCTTTCTCCACTGCTGTCCCGAGCACCACCGGCCGCGCGTCTTCAGACGGCTCTGCTGCCTGCTCCCCGGGCAGAACCTTTTTTCCCCCCTATTAAAGGGCACTTAGGCTGACGGATCACTTTGAGATCAGAATAACCGGGAGTGCTTTAAGGGAACTGAAGCTGTTTTTCTTCGTTTTTCCTTCGGGTTTAGTTCGCAGGGGAGGAATTTTGATCCCTTTTTTCAGAATGGATTATTTTGCCGTGATTTTGTCTCTGCTGTTTGTGGTTTTCCAAGGAGCTCCAGAGGCAGGTAGGCACATTGACTTATAAATCCTGAACGTTAATGTCTTCTTATCCACTTTAATGCTTTTCTTGCTTCTGTTCTTCCCCTTCTTTGTGCTACTGAAGCTCAGATATCCATTCTCTGAGAATGATTAGGGAATTATTATCCAAAGCTCCTTAAGTTTTCTAGTGGGGAAAAATCCATTATTAAATACAACTGCTCCTGTAGCATTAAAATAACATTATTATTATTGCATAGTGTATGTTCTTGGTTTGTAACAATATAACTCAAGAAAGGTAAAGAGAAGATATAATTTAGCCAAATGTGTATTTGCAGTATGTGTGTTCATACAGGCAATAGGATGCATAGGAACATATATCTTATACAAATACTGTTTTTATAGTGTGTTAATGTGTAAAGTATTTACACATTTCAGCTTGAAGCCAAGGAATTTTATTCAAGTCTTTCAAGCAATATTTGAGCAGTAAAATCACCTGCAGAACAGTCTGTTGAACAACCCCCCAGGCGGTTTCAGGGTGAAGCAGATGTTTTCTTTAAAGTGTGTCATTATTGACTTTAGGTTTCTTTTGGCAGATTTTTGGCACCCAAAACAGCGTGAGCTCTATTTTCAGTTTTATTCACCTGTCCTGGGAGGGGAGCCGAGATAAATTGGCTGCTTAAGGATTTAGATAGGACTTGTGCATCTGCCCAGTTCCCCCTTCCAGGGTCAACGCACTTTTTTTGTCTTTTCATGACCCTGACTAACGAGAAAGGATGTCAAGGGAATGAAAATCCTGGAATGTGTCTGATCATTTGAAATGTACAGAATTGGGCAGATAAGCTGCATGGTTAACTTGTCAGGAAGAAGAGCCAGCGCTGCGGCGGGAGGGGGAGGCGAGGTCCCACACAGGCCACCCTGCAATGGGGCTTCTGAATCCAAGATCCCCGGACCTTGACTGAGTCCCCTGAGCACCGCTCAGCTTCGCCTTCGGTCAGTGGTTTCTGTGGAGTCATCAGCCTGGAATGGATATTGAAGAGCTGATTTCTCTTCTTTCCTTGCAATCTCCTCCCCAATGCTCTTGACCTCCACCTGATTTCAAGGAGTATATGTCACGTGGGCTACTCCCCACCCTGTGCACACGGTGTGATGTGGTGGGTACTCCCCTACACAGAAGGTCATTCCACCTGGAGAAGTGGCTCCAAACCTAGGAAGAGGCAATACAATGTATTTAGTTTTAGATTTTTGGCCATCAGTTAATTTTAAGCCACTGAAGGTTGTGCTTGTGCTATCCGTCCTATTAATTTCCATGCAGAAGCCAACCCAGATTTCTAACAGGCAGCATTTCCACGCATCTCCTTGAAGGCTGCTTCAAAGGGGCTGGTAAGTCCCTTTCCAGGCGGTTCTTCCTTCTGCACTTGTGTAACATCTCTGAAGGTCGGTAAGGCAGTAGGGGTAAAGATGAAGTCATGTTAAGGAGGGCAGAAAATGAAGCCCCCCTTTCCTCTGTGTTTCTTCCTGAAGGCAGGCTGCAGGCTTCATGTGTGACTCACTGTGCCTCTGTCCTCCAAGGAGAGCTCCCCACTGACCTGCTCTTTCTCTCCACAGCCGTCTTGGGTGCCGAGCTCAGCACAGGGGTGGACAGCGGAGGAGAGAAGCCCTCTCCCAGTGCAGCCCGCCGCTCCAAACGCTGCTCCTGCTCTTCCTTGATGGATAAAGAGTGTGTCTACTTCTGCCACCTTGACATCATCTGGGTCAACACTCCTGGGTGAGTCTCTAGAGGGCATTGTAACTCTAGTCATTCCTTCGCTCTGGCTTCACCAGAGACTGGAGCCCAGTTACTCTAGCTGCTTTTCTGGGAAGCTGCTGGTTTGGATTCTGAAAGTAGCATTTCTGACAACATGGAAGTGCCTCCCTGGGTGGGGACAGGGCCCCTCCATTTCTGAAAAGAACAAGACGGCTTGGTTCTTAGCAACAGAGGGGAGGGTCTTTTGAGGCCCGTGGCTCAGGCTACTCATGGCAAGATAGATGGAAAGAGTGGATGGCAAGCAGGAGGCTGACACAGTTTATGAGGAGAAATTTTAAGTGTGGTGTCTTGGGGGAATGTGTTTTCAGTGGGATCTGTTTGCATTTAGGGAATAAGTTGCTGAGGTCATTTGGCTTCTCCTGGGAAGATAGAGACTTAAGAGGCAGAAGAGATTATAAAGCTTTATAATCCAATCTTTTCATCCTACTTATAGAAAAACTAAGACCCAGAATGTTGAAGACACTCATGCAAGAATGAGTTTGGGGCAGTGCTAGACTTACAACCTGGGTGTCCTGACTCTGTACTTTCCCGTTAGAAAAACCCATTTCAAGACAGTTATAGAAACACGGGTCATAGATTTCTCTTCTCTCTCCAGAGTGAAGAAGGCACTTTCCCCACTTTCGCCATAAAAACTAGCTCATCCATCCAAAACAGTCATAAACAAAACCACATTTTATTGTGCCTGCAGGTTCCCAGTATTGTGAGGATGACCAAAATCCAAACAAAATCAAATCAGGCTAAACAAAAACCACTGCAAGCTTTATACTAGTAGGGTGATTCTTCCAAGGGGAGGACTTTATTTCTTAAGTGAAAATCAAAACAAACATTAGAAATTACTGGAGAGCATTCTGGCAAGGAGTTCTCCTGTAGTCATATCACCAAATTGCAGGAGATGTGCCAACCTGGGCGTAGTGTGTCTCCTCCCGCCCTCTCTCAGGAGGCACTTCTAGCATTATCATGTGACTGGAATTGAAAATACGTTTTCCAGATCTTGGGAGTCACGGTTTCGCATGGCCTTGAATTCCCTATCCCCCATACCCCATCTGTTAACTAAATAGAATATTAGAAAAGGAAGAAAATGTGAAACAGATACCAAAGCAGAGATGTCATAATTTTGGACAAAAATCAATGCTGCATGTGTCCAGAAGAAATTCAAATTGGTCAAGGGTTGAAATGGAATTTAATTGAATTAGCAAAGCTGGTTTCTCCTGGTTGGAGATACACACTCAGGGCCTTTGATAGATACGTCTCCCTGACTCGCCACACTTCACTCTCCTAAGTTCTGCTACCAAATACCATGTGGTGAACTCCGTGTGTCCCGATGAAATGAGTTCACCCCACAGAATGCATCACTTTAAAGACTATTAGTTATTCTAATATCTTTTGTTCCTCTCTTTTGATACCAGGCACATTGTTCCATACGGACTTGGAAGCCCTTTGAGATCCAAGCGGTCCTTAAAGGATTCATTTCCTACAGAAGCCACAGACCAGAGCGGCAGATGCCAGTGTGCGAGCCAAAAAGACAAGAAGTGCTGGAAGTTTTGCCAAGCAGGAAAAGCACTCAGGTGAATAGAAATACCTTTGCTTTCAAATAGTTTTATGGTCTCCTGACCTTCTTCCTGTTATAATGCTACAAATAAGAGGCACAGCTTCCAGTAGGAAAATAAATAAGCCATGGGAATGTAGTGTACAGGACAGATGAAATATCAATAATACATAATAACTTTGCACAGTTACAGATGAGTACTAGACTTATCATGGTGATCACTTCTTAAAGTATATAGATGTTGAATCACTATATTGTACACCTGAAACTAATCTGATATTGTATGTCAACTATACTTTAATAATATTTTTAAGAAAAAGTGAGGTTAACAGAGACATTGAGAGTAACTGAAGGTACCATTTCTAAAATGTTTTTCCTTATGTGTATTTTAACAGGGACCAAGACACTATGCAGAAAGACAGGAATAATCGTAAGAAACAAAAAGACTGTTCCAAGCTTGGAAAGAAGTGTATTCATCAGCAGCTGGTGGAAGGAAGGAAAATAAGAAGGTAAGAGGTTCTTAGTAACAGCTAGCCCCCATCACCAATGCCAATGGACTGCTCGCCTGGTCATTCTTACTTTGGTGGGAATAAGGCTTAGAAGATGAAAACAAAGGGAAACTTCATGTTCTGTAGGTTAAAAAGAGCAAAGGAATGCCTCTCAAATATTTTTTTGAAGACTTTGAAACAGAGTGCTATCTATTTGGGTGATTGTTAGCACACACGCCTCAGTCTGAAGTTCAGTTTTCCCAAACAAATTATATCTTGAAACACTTTTGTCATTTGATCATATCCAGCCTTTGTTTCCCTCAGTCAATATATTTACTGCTTTCCCTCAGAACCTAAAAGTCATTTCAGGGAGAGGTCTTGTTTCTTTTTTTTTTTTTAAATCAAGATATCATAAATAATCAAGTTCTTCAAAAAGTAGCAGTTATTCAAGTGAGCAAAGGGAAAACAAAGTGATTAGGTAAGGCTGGGAAGTTGGAACACGCTGTTTTCCAGGTTTATTTATTTATTTATTTTTACTAGGGAAATGCATTTGGTGGAGATCCAGTGCTGTTCCAGGAATCTCCCTCATTCTTGTCAGTCATGAGCTGGGCCAGAGAAGGCATCTGGTGTAGGCAATACTGTGGGCTTGCTTTGAGCAGCTCCACATTGATGACCCTTTCAAATCCTAAACATGTTGGAATTCTTCACAATCTGGAGGGAGGAAACCTGCTTTCAGACCTGTCCCATGGTCTACATTTCCCTCTCGTGGTCCATAGAAACTCTTCCTAGAAATCCAGTGGCAAGAAGTTCTATGGCAGTCTGAGCATTCAGTGCATAGGTGTGGCCATCACGAACCACTTCTGCTTGTTCACTGCTGAGGGGTGGGGCAGCCTTGGCTGTCTGCGACTCCACACTTGCCAGCGCAGTTTCTATAGTCATGTTCTTGGGCCACTGATGCTTTCCCATATCCCAAGATTTCCTAAACTATAGTTTCTGAACTAACTTGGACTTGTTTAAAAAATTAATTTCTATTATATTGACTACTAAATCAATGTCACAGTTCTTCCCTCTTTCTTTCTCTTTCAAAACAACAACAATAAAAAACCTGCAAAAATAAGTTTGCTTTAATTACCATAGAACATTTGCTTGGGGCCTATGTTTACATGTTTCTTTTCTTTCTTTCCTGCTAAGGGACGTGGTGGGTGAAATGGGGCTACAGAAAAAAAAGAGAGAGAGATTATCTGTAGTTTACTTTGAAATTGTAGTTTCAAATTGTATTTAATACCCAATTCCCTTTAGACCTGAACATATCGCTCTTCTTCTGTGGCCCCCATCCCCATCTATAAACATAAAGGGCAGGCTTTATTTTCACTTGAGGTTAGCAGAGTATAGCAGGCTGTTGTGGTTGGTTGTGAAAGTTCAGGAACTGCACACAATTTTTTTTGTGCCAGATTCTAATTTTAGATATTTCTTTTGCCCTGGGATGATTTTCTAAAAAATAGCATTTGTTTTCTTTTATTTTGTTTTAACAGGTTGGAGGCCATCAGCAATAGCATCAAAACATCTTACCGTATTGCCAAGCTGAAAGCCAAGCTCTACAGAGAGAAGAAAGTGACCCACAACCGAACACACTGATGACAAAGAGTCCTGTCTGAAGCTATCTCCTCCACAGAGAGAGCCGTGCTGTGCAGCCGCCTGGCACTCTTGCCACAGTGACCTGGATCAGAGCAAAAACACCCTTCCTGCTAAGACTGTTTTTTGTTCCAGATGCAAAGGACCAGTGTCTTCCTTCTAAACATTCCAAGAACAGTTAGAAAGTCCATCAGTGGGAACTACTTTTGTCTCTCTTTTGGGATGACAACGGACCACTCAAAGAAAGCAGAGAGATGCAATGACTTGCAGATTCTGGTGGCACTCTCCACCGGGAGGAAAGGGACTCCATGTGGGTGGGGTTCCTGAAGGGGCTCTCAAGGGAGTCTTTGTGTCTCACTCAGGCACCTGGCACTTTTCAGGGAGCAACTGCAAAGTCCAGGAAAAGATTTTCTAAGAAATGCACAAATCGAAAACATACTCGAGTTAAAAAAAAAAAAGACCGTCTCTTTCATTCACAAGATGCAAAATGGAAAGAAACTGTTACTACTGTAAATCAGGATGTGTTTCATAAATATGACTCTACCTCACCTGTATTGCACTCTGGCAGAAGTATTTCCTCTTTAATTATTGCCACCCAAGCTCCTCCCCCTCCTGCTATCCTTTTCCCCAGTCCTCCACACTAAACCCTAGCCTCACAGAAGTCTGCTCTAATGTGTCAAGTAGTAGATATCACATTTTTCATGGTGATCTGCTAGCTCTGATCCATAAGAAAAAAAGATCATTGAATCGGGAGATTTCCTTACCTTGATTTTTGGAAACACAATAGCCTGGGTGGTTTATGAAAGGCATTGAAGAGTAAATGTTGGTTATGACTTAAAGAAGTAAAATTATTTTCCATTATGTAACTGGCATATGGAAGAGGTTGGATTAAATTTTGATGTACTTATTTTTTTATAGATATTTATATTCAAACAATTTATTCCTTATATTTACCATGTTAAATATGTCTGGGCAGGCCATATTGGTCTATGTGTTTTTTAAAAAATGTATTTCTGAATGAAATTGAGAAAATGCTTTTTTTTTGCCTGTCAAGGTAATGACTTTATAAAATAAATGTTTTTTTTCCCTGCTGTACTGATTTTGAATTATTTCTAAAATCCTAAGAAGTGGGACAAAATGGTAATGATTATGAAGGGGAAGGATTAAAGATGGTTTCTGAAAAAGGTGACAATTAGAAGAAAAATAGTCTTAGCTATTTTTAAAAAAGAACTTGATCTGTATCTTAAAAGTCGCCTTTGGACTGCATTAATGTAAAAACAAAACAAAACCCAGCTTTAACCCCGGTGTCTTTCCCACATTGCAGCCTTCTGTTTTCCCTTCACCTGAAAACTCTCCAGGGCCTTCATTCATTAGCTTTGCTTAGGCTTTTAGACAGGATCCAACAGTTTAAGCTGATGGCGTGTTGAGAGGTGCTTTCTCCATTAATGGACTGAAGGAAGGAATGGCAAGGCAACCAACCTCCCAAAATGTGTCCAATTATACATAGTTTCACACCAGAGCTGCTTTGAAAAAATGGCCTGCTCAGAGCATGTTAGGGGCCCCAGTGGCTTTTTATTAGCTCAGATTAAGAATTTGTGGATTCAGGAACACTGCGCACCTTTGCTTCTTTTTGGTAACCCAGGACTGGACAGATGTCCATGGAGGTAGAGCTACCAAATGTTGACCCCAGGTCTCTTGTAGCACAGCACCCTGTCCTCCCCACTATACCCCAGCTGGCCTTGCCTAACCATTTCAGGGAGTAATGCTGCAAATGGTTGTTACCAACAGAAGCCCATAAAAGCTTGATCAGTTTATGAGAATCTTCATTGCCTTCTCTAATAGTGTCTGAAAGAATGTCTGGCATTCAACAAATATTAGCTCACAGTCATCACTGTTGTCTCAACAGTGATGCATTTGAAGGATGTTAAATAACAGCCTTCAGGTGTGCTTCGTCAGTGTCCCGGGCAGGCAGAGTGTCCATCTTTATTGGCATTGTGTTTCATCTTTCTCTCTCTCTTTCTTTCTTTCTTTCTTTCTTTCTTTCTTTCTTTCTTTCTTTCTTTCTTTCTTTCTTTCTTTCTTTCTTTCTTTCTTTCTTTCTTTCTTTCTTTCTCTTTCTTCTTTCTTTCTTTCTTTCTTTCTTTCTTTCTTTCTTTCTTTCTTTCTTTCTTTCTTTCTTTCTTTCTTTCTTTCTTTCTTTCTTTCTTTCTTTTTCTTTCTTTCTTTCCTCTCTCTCTTTCTTTCTTTCTTCTCTCTCTCTCTCTCTCTCTCTGAAGTAGAGAGCAACTCAGCAAGCAAAGGTGATAAAATTTTCTTCCTCTATTCCTTTGTCCAAAGCAAATTATTTGAACTTTTAAATCCTCTTCCCCCATGCTTCCTGCTTGAGTAAGGCAAGAAAAGTAAACAGCATGAAGCCACTCTCCTAGGGTATGAGATGAAGGTCAGTCATAAAGTAAATAGAAAGATTCATAAAAACTAAATATTTTTAAGTATGTAGAAGTAATATTTAGTATTTTTCAAGGCCCCTGCCAGCTTGAGTGGTGAACTGATGGGGCAGTCTATCATACTTCCTGCAACTTTTTTAGTAAACTCTGGTTTTTGGAAGTCCATTTAGGACAGATTTCTCTCTTCACATTAATAGCCAGGCAGAGCTTTGATCTCAGGACTCCAAGAACTAGGGAATCCTGGGTGGGGAGTGGTGACCTTTGGTGGAAGGAGAGGGGCCCACTAATGGATACTTCATTTTTCTTCCCCAGGGAATGGCTTCTTTTGTGTTGGAAACCATTGGCTTTAATCCTGCCTGAGCTTCTGAAATAGTCAGGGTATTATGTACTAAGCAGAGTTCTCAGCATTCAGTATTATATATACTAAGTTAGAGCTCCCTTAGGAAGACCCATGGTAACATTAACAGAAAGCAACATTTTGTCTTTCCAGGTAAAAAACCAAAAGCCTAAAGAGGGAAGTCGCACACCTAAGATCACACAGCAGGCTGTAGCATCTCTGGAACCCGAATCCTGGAACACAGATATTTCACCCAGGCACTTGCAAGTCAGTTGGAGACCGACGTCCAAGCAAATGTGGTAAAGGCAAACTCACCCTTCCTAAGATTTTTGACTTCCAGCCTCCCGGATTATGGTTGCCAGATGCATTCTCACAGAATGAAAGGGAAGAAATGCAGGGGAAGCAAAAAGGGATGTGAGGAGATATTTAAAGCTCATGGCATCATGAAATCAATTTCTGTAGGATGAAATAGCTAGAAATATATAGCTAGAAACTTTTCATTATTTTTATGTTTTAGGGTTTAATTAACAAATAATCTTTAAATAATATGAGTGAAGGGGAATTCTCTCAGTCAGTTTGCTGACTCTATAGTGCAAGCCAATGGTTTTTAATTTTGTCTCAGGTCTTGAAAATGCTTATTTTCAAGCCCAAGTTCTCATTATGCAAAACACTATTTTTCAAGCCCAGGTTCTCAATGGAGTTCTTCCTGCCTTGGCTTTCTCTCACCTTTTCATTCACAGTTCTTGGGGTTTTAGGTGAGGGGCTCAGGCTATATCTATAGCAAGTAAATGCTGCTGTTCTCATAACTTTGTGATTTAACAGTGACCCCTTATCTTTATAGAGAAGTAGATTTCCCATCACCTTTTCACAGACCTTCTCCTATTTGACCCCCTCATCCAACAATCTTTTTGGAATGTTGGGGCCATATTTTTGTACGCATTTGACAGCCAAGGGAACAGACATAGTGGATGAGTAGTGAGTTGTCCAGACTCCTTCACCAGACAAATAGCAATACTGAAACTCAAGACCCCTGACCCTTTCTCCTTAAGTTTCCCTTGAGCAGAGAGGATAGCACTGGTCCTGAAGGTAAATTATTCTGCTGAAACCCAGGAGGGCACTTAATGATATTGAAAATCTTAAAGAAATACAACAACAGCAAATGGAACAGAACTCTTATTTTCAGGTGTCCTTGATTGGATTGAAATTTTGGGATATATCTTTAAAAATAAAAGTAATTCTAACAGATTTTGACAGAATCTAGGAAAATTTACTAAACTTGTATTTAATAAAATGGAATAATTCCATTGTAAATTTCTTTACTTAACCAAATGTAAAATTATTTTATAGTTCAAATGCTCTGCCCATTTCCTATTTGCCACATGGTCACAAAACTACTTTCAACAGGTCAAGAATTCTCACTTGAAATACATGTAGAAATTGCTCAACAACCTGTCAATTTAAACATCTTCTTTAGTAACTTGCTAAGATGCCAATCACTCTGCTATAAACATTGCTCACTGGTTCGTTCTCCCATACCTGGTTAATTTTGCTCTGCTTAACAGCCATAGGTGGTGTTGCTCACTCTGGTGAGAGACAAAATACATAGGACAATTACAGAGATGATTTTTACTCAGGATATTACAATAAAGAAGATGTTCATTATTGAAGAATATTTCAAGCAAAGAAAAGGGGTCTGGGTTTTGCAAAGGAAAGGAGACAAGAAGTTGTCTATGAGTCCTGTGGGCATCAGGAAGAAAAATGGAGATGGTCTTTTCTGAGTTTTTGAGAAAGAATAGAGGGTATTATGTGAGAGCACAGTGGTCCCTTCTCTCTAAGAAATGGGGTCTTCTTCTCTAACAGATGGGGTTAGCCATTTCTTAGAACACAAACGGGGGAAGGGAACTTCTTGACCCTCGCTTTTGGGGAACACAGGGCTCAAATCAAGTTCAACATTGTCAGCCCTAACTTTTTGTTCAAGATGAATATTATTCATCACTGAACAACTCAGCAGTGATTGTCAGTGTTCTGAATGGGGTGAATCAGGGTTTCAGAAATAGTTTTGAAAGGAATCTATCTTCTGAAAAAACAGTTAAACAGAAATGATGGTAAAGGTAAGTGGTTTTAGGGTCCTGGAGATCAGACCCCTTAGAAAAGAATGCCTAAATGAAAAACCGATATGAAAGGTTTCATTAAAGAACCAGGAAAGGTTGAAGATTTGATAAGGATTGATAGTTTGGGAAGGAGCCAGTCCAATTTATAACTAAGTATCTAAACTGATGTTTCCATAGTAGGGGAGCAAGTCAGTTAAATAATCACCAGACCAGATAGAGTTTGCGTATTCATCAGTTATCCACAATGTAAAAAGATACCTAAAATGGCTCAAAGGCTAGAATCTGACAACCTGGAAGGATGTGTTATATGATATATAGGTAGATGTCCATTAAAACACAAAATGTCTCTTTACATTCACCCTGCTTTCAATAAAAAATAATCTCAAAGAAAGATTGTTCTTGATCCTAAAATAAGTGTGTTATAATTAAACTTGACATAGTTATTTAGAGAGGTATCATGAGAATAGTAATTTATCATACAGGCCATTTTAAATTTGCTTTCTGGAAATTTTCATAAGGAATTTCAAATTGAATGTTTTAAAAAGTTTCTTGAGGCTAGGGAGTCAAGCTGAAAGCTCACTATCAGATTTCACTGTAGTAGCTATAAATTTGAGAACATTCTTCTCTTCTTGAGGTCCCCCAAATAGTCTGAGATTCATGGACCTGTCAAAAAGCTACCTATCCACTGGCAAGGCTGGGAATCTGTAAGCCAGGTATTGGGCCTATTTGTCCATGAGGGCCTTGTGACGATGGGCTCTATAAAGCTACACTTTATTCCTTAAAAATTTCTGGACATACTTGAATCATAATTCTCAAATATGACATTCCAGGGAAAGCTTTGGTTGCATGACCCATATATTCAATTATGTCACGGTAACAAGAAGGACAAATTCGCACTGAATCTATGCAAAAATATTGCCATGAAATAAAATACTCAGCAAGAGTTTCTGAATTTTGGAGGAATTAGACAAGGAGAATAAGACATTATTTCCAAATATTTCATTTCAGTTTATAAAAGCAGAGTCTACTGAATTATCCATATAGATCTCTTAAGAGGAAAAAGAAAGGACTTTGCTATATATTCAGAAAATTGAATGTTAGGACAACCATATTCCAAACAGAAAAACACAGTCATTCCTCAGCAGCTCATTCAGCCTCATGTAATTAAATGTTGT